GTAGAGGCATCCATGCTCAGGTTCTCTGTCTGGATACAGGCACAGGTGGAGGAGACAGGAGAAGTATTGGCACAAGCGCTTCGGGTCTTCATCAGTCACTCCCTCTGCTCAACTCCCTCTTCAACTCCCCTGTCTGCAGGGGTTATAGAACCCAATCTCACCTACCCTGAACGGGTTCTCCCAATCCCAAAGAACCAGCCACAGATCCCAGTGAGATTTCACTTTGGATCTTTCCCGATTGAGCTTGCTGGGCCAATCCTTTAGAATCTAAAATCTAAAGGCTTATTAATAAAATAAAGAAAAGGTGGATAATAAGGTTATTAAGGAGAATACATCACATGCACCAGCCCCCAGTTCTCGATGCAGGCTCTCAGCAGAGATGTTACAAACTGCCAGCTGAGAAGTCTCTGTTGCCCATCCTATGTCAGGATGGGTCAACAATCCTTCCCGGCTCTCTGCCCCTCGCAAGGCTGCATCTGGGGTCAGTAGCAAGACTCCAAGATGGAGACTGCTTCATGGCACTTATAGATCCATTCTTGGTACCAGCTGGAGTTGGTCACATGATACGTTTCACATACCAGTGTCCATGAGGTACTGGCCAGTCTGCAGGTTTCCAGGCGCATTCCTCGTGTGTGTATTGGCTACCCCGAGAGCCATTGTCCTTGGAGCCGTGCTAGTTAGCACAGTCATTCACTGGAGATTCCTTCTTTGCAACAGGCAGTCTAGGCGCATTGCTCTGTCTCAGGTAGAGAACATTCACACTACCAGCCCAGAGCCCATATTCATAACTTCACATACAAATATCACACTAGTACATGAGTAGCAGACCTAGAATCAGTAGAACAGAAGCTTCCATTTGACACCTTACATGGCCCCTTTGTACAGCCTTTGAGGAACCCCCCCCATGGGCGCAACTGTGATCTGTCTAGTCAGAGTAGCTCGTTCTTCTTCGAGTGGTTCCCGTGGGTGCTCCACTCATACTGTCGGGCTCGTCCCAGCACTGCAGCTCAGATAACTATTTACAAGTAAAGTATTCAGCTGGGTCGCGCATGTGTGGTGTGCAGCATGCGCCGTTCACGCCCTTCGATCTTCGAGCACACCCGGCTGTCCGCTCAGTTCCTCTCAACTGTCTCTGGCCACAGACTGAGCTCAGATTCTCTCTTCAGCCCTAGGGGATCTGTAGTTAATTACTTGTAAATAGTTATCCTTTTGTTGACTGTTCTTCTTTATCTACAAAAACCCCTTGTTAACACTTCATTAAAACCCTCTTCCCGCTGTCACTGACTAACAACCTTAGCCACGGGGATTCTAATGGGCAAGGCTTTTCACAGGAGGAAGAGTTTAACCCAGTCATGCCTGGATCCTCAGGCTTCAAAAAATGTGCCCTATGTAGTGAGCCCATGCCAGCCTTGGATGGGGAAACCATATTCCCCAAACATGCAGGCATTGCTCAAAAATGACAGCCTGCACTTGCTGTGACAGAGAAGGTGGACCCCGATAGAATGACTGCTGGACAACTTGGGAGGACCCAGAAGAGAAGGGTCTCTTCCCCATAACCGCTGGCAGATAAAAGGAAGAAAATCTCCCCGCCTGAGAGGACGGAAGATAAGCCAGGGTCCTCTGGCTCTGTCCTGCGAACCTCAGTACCCGGGTTAGGGACAAAAGTAAAGAAGGCTGCAGAGTCCAAAAGAGCCTCTTTGGCGCCAAGCTGCACCCACGCTACAAAGGTGCCAGCACCTCTCCGCTCGACCCTGCAAGCGGCGTCGGAGCAACAGCCACCTGTGCGGACAGCAGCGGCACCGGAGGGAACTCTCCCAGCACTGGCAACACAACAAGCTCCGTTGTCGGCACCGCGCGGCAGTCCTGCAACACAAACAGCCCCTGCACCAGTAAACACAGCAGTGCCGCAACTTGTTCAAACACAGGCACTGGAGCAGGAGCCGGCACCGAGGCACTTCTGTTAATACGGGGAGACAGGGGACTTCCCACTCACCTTCTCCAAGATTTTCACCGGGTCCTTCTCCTTCTCCTTCTCCAATATATCAATCGCCTCTGCACCATGTCTACCGGCACCACAGCCTAAGGGTATGTCTAGACTGCATCCCTCTGTCGGCAGAGGGATGCAGATTAGGCACGTCGACATTGCAAATGGGGCAGGGATTTAAATATCCCATGCATAATTTGCATAAAAATGGCCTGTAAATCTCCTTGCAGGAGGCATAAGGGATCTGTGGAAAAAGGCTTTCTTCTCCACAGATCCCACTCTAGACTGCCACTTTTTGCCAACAAACTGCTGAGTCAGCAAAACGTGGTGGCCATTTTATGCAAATAAGGCATGGGATATTTAAATCCCTGCCTCATTTGCAATGTCAACCAGCCTAATCTGCATCCCTCTGCCGACAGAAGGATGCAGTCTAGACATACCCTAAGATAGCGGTTCTACCATAGGTGCTATTCCCCATATGGGCACCCGTGCTACAGCAACTGCTACAGGCACCGATCCTACTCTCCGCCATACAGACGGTCACCACGCTATCGCTATTCTCTGCGTGCCACCTACGAGAGGTGACATACCAGTTGTAGATCATCCAGGTGTTCATCGCCTCACCCATCAGATCGATATTACGATCATCACCATGATTCTCCGTACCTGTCACGTTCACATGTCCACCACTGTACACAGCAACAACCCTCATGCGCCAGCCCACCAATAGCGGGACACACACCACCACAGCAACACCATAACCGTCAGCTGACCTCTCCAACACACAGCCCGGGTGCCACAACACAGCGATCGGACTTAGAGGACAAATAATTGTCAGAAGTGGAGGACCAGCAGACTGAAAATCCAATTCCTGGCTGCTCATCCTCTTCACTAGACAAGGCGGTTTTCCCAGCAGACACATCTCCACCGGACGATTTTAAACAGTTTCCAGGACCTCTTCAAGCGTGCGGCTCAGTCCCAGGAAATCCAGCTAACAGAAGTGCAAATGAAACAGCATTGACTGCTGAAAAATTTGCACCGAAGGCAGAGCGCGAAAGTTGCATCCCTATTGTTGAAGCTATTATGGAAGCGGCAGACATCATCTGGCAGACACCAGCTTCGGTGCCATCAACCTGCGGGAGAGCGGACAAGAAATATTTTGTCCTTTCCAAGAATCTAGAATTCCTCTTTAACCACCCACAGCCGAATTCACTGGTGGTAGACGCAGCACAGCAGCAGTATAAGACAACACCAGATGTCAAAAAGCTAGACATATTCGGCAAGAAAGTATACTCCTTGGCAACCCTGCATTTCTAATTATGCTGCCTTGTTATCGAATCACAACTTTGACAATTCTGAAAAGATAGCACAGCTTCTTCAATACCTGCCAGAAAGCAAGCGTCCCCTCTTAAAGTCTCTTGTGCAAGAGGGTTTTGTGGTGGCACGAGCGAGTTTGCAGATCTCGCTGGATGTGGCAGACACAGCAGCCCTCACCACTGCAACTGCGATAGCAATGAGGCATTCTTCTTGGCTTACTTCCGCAGCAGTTCCAAAGGAGCTTCACATGAAAGTGGAAGGACCTCCCTTTTGACAAAAACAAGTTGTTCACGGAAAAGATGGATGAGGTCCTCCGGACAAGATTCCCGGTCTATTCTCCACGTCCTGGGGATGTACACACACCCCCTTCGACGCAAAAGATACTATCCATAGCAGAGGAGGTACGACTACCCCTCTCAGAGACAGCAATACCAGCAGCGACCTATAGAACAATCACCTGCAAAACAGCGCCCACGTCATAGGCGACCCCAACCATCCCGTACACTCAATCAACAAAACTCCAAGCAGCAAGTTTGCTGGTTCGGTCGAGGGCCTGCAACAAGGCCTTACAGTGAAGATGGAATAACAGGTCACTCATCTTTTTCACCACCGACTTTGACCTTTTCAACATCAATGGGCGGCGATTACATTGGACCGCTAGGTATTACAACTCGTGGTATCTGGGTATCTGGATGTAGTCTAGACGCTCTTTGTCGACAGAAGCTTTGTCGACAGTATCTGTTGACAAAAGTTCTGTTGACAAAAGCCTATAGTTTTAAATGCATCCTATGATTCTATGATCTCCCCACCTCCCATCAGACACCCCAGTGTTCCCCATGCCCCACCCAGCCCCCACCTTACACAGGGGAGAGGTTATAACCCATCTCTCCACCTCCCCTCACACATTGCTGGAGCTGTTCCGACTCACGCTCACAGGGGCTCTGCCTGCCCACACCCTCATGGGAGGTTGTTCCCGTCCACACTCGCTGGAGCTGTTCCCACCCATGGTCGCAGGGGCTCTGCCTGCCCACACCCAGGTGGGAGGTTGTTCCCACCCACGATCGCAGGGGCTCTGCCTGCCCACACCCACATGGGAAGTTGTTCCCGCCCACACTCGCAAGGGCTCTTCCTGCCCACGCCCACCTGGGGGGCTATTCCCGCCCACGCTTGCAGAGGCTTTTCCCGCCCATGATTTTCGGGGCTGTTTCTGTCCATGCCCAACTGGGGGGGTGGTTCCTGCCCAAGGCTGCTAGGTCTGTTTCTGCCCTCGCCCACCAGAGCTGTTCCCACCCTTGCCCGCCGGGACTGTTCCTGCCCTTACCTGCCAGAGCTGTTCCCACCCACGCCCACTGGGGCTGTTCCCACTCACACCCACATGGTGGCTGTTCCTGCCCATGCCTGGTGGGGCTGTTCCCACCCATGCCCATCTGGGGGGCTGTTCCCACTCACGTCTGCTGGGTCTGTTCCTGCCCATGGCCTCTAGTGCAGGTTCACCACAGCTGTCTGCCTGCCACTGTGTGCTTTGTAGGCTGTGCCTCCATTCTGCTTCAGCTTTGCAAGTGCAGTGGCCCACCCTAGTCGGGACCAACCCCTGAGCCTTTCCCTCTCTAGCATGGGGCATGCATCCTCTGGCACAGGGAGCAAGCCAGTGCCCTGGAAGGCACCTTGGGAATGCTCAGCTCCATACTCCTCTCAACAGGAACCCTCCTGGATGTCTGGGTCAGTTTCCAGCAGAAGTGGATTTTCCTGAATATAGTCCTGTATGAGATGGACATCAGTCTGCCCAGCAGGGAGCTGGTAAGTTGTCTCCCTCCCCACTGCTTCTGTTCCCTGCCTCTTGGGGTTTCCCTTCCACGGCCTGACGCTGCTGTCCTTGGCCCAGGAGTGCCTTTTTCAGCAGCTGGACGGCAGATTCCGGGAGCTCATGCAGGTGACGTCCACCCACCCACTGGTGCTGTCCAGCGTGATGCCGCTGGCTACGTGCAGCCGGGAGAGTCGCTTCATGGGAGTGCCCCTGCAGACCATGCTGGACCAGGGCGTCGAGGACCTGCAGCTCATCATCCAGTCCCTGGAGTAGGTGCTGGAGGCCACACGCATGGGCTTCCCCCGCCTCTTCTTCCTCAGCAACGCAGAGGTGGGGG